TAGAAAGAGTCATCAACGACTGATCATCGTTGATCAACAACTTTCGTAAAATAGTTTTTGGATAACAGACCACACAATCTGAGCCTGTCAGAAGAATACATGTTGGTGTGCATCAGGTTAATTCGTTAATAAACTGCAGTATTAAAATCAAACTTCAAGAAGTTGAAGCTCATGATGGAAAAAGCTTGCTGTAAAGCACGGAAATTATCAATTTAGGACTGTGAGACAAAAAGAAAATTTTAAATTAACACTGTCATTACCACCTGCCTACATGTGTTGAATTTTTTTTTATTCATCATAAATGAGTATTATGAGAAAACTGATCATCAAAATTAATGTTTTATTCTCACCAGATACGAAAAATAATATTCTACATGAGAAGAAAATCGATCTTTTTGAACTCAATTAAAACTTGGCACATTTTTAAATGAGCAGGAAACTTTGGCCACCAATCAACATTTTCCCTTTATACTATAATCAGATATGAGAAACATATATCTGGGTATAAATTAATATTCCTTAAAAAATCAATCTTTGTAAACTCTCAGGAAATATTTTTGGCGCATTTTGAAATGAGCAGGAAACTTTGGCCACCATTGAAAAGTTTTCCCTTTACTGAGCTTTATTTAGCATTGGGAATATTTTCTTGAGAATCTGAAAAAATAGCATATGCATGAAAAATGATAAGAACAACTTTAACATGCTATATTTACTCAAGTACCAGCATGTACCATCAATAAGTAGGACGCACACCTGATTTTTTGCCTACAATTTTGATTTTTAAAATGTACTGTATTTCCAAATAAACGCACGTCTTATCTTTGACTAAAAATAGCAATATTTTGAAAATGAGGCATCAGTGTATATAATCAGAATTTAAATTTGACATGAATTTTCAAATTGAGTGTTAATCTTCCATTATTTGATTTTATGTTCAAATTGGTTTAAATTCCTTCTTGGAATCGAGTACTGTAATAATATGACAAGTACCAAAGCTAAAGATTTATTCAATTTTTTATCTATCTATGATGGACATGTCTTTTTTCCCTCCTAATTTTTAAAAAGGTGCATGTGATACTCATGTGTAAAAAATGTGCATCAGTAATGGAAATATTGAAACGTGGGTGACAGTGGGAATATCATGGTATATGATAGGGTACCAAGTTCACTGAAGTGTTCTGCGCTATATTGAAATATCCTCTGGATTAATTTTCGATTGTGTATAGGTCACATTAAAGGAGTTCACATTCTGCTTTATAAAAAAACATTCAGGCAAGTTTAACGTTACCTCTATATATAACTTTGTAATCACAATGAAGCTTCGAAAAACGAAGGTCCCCAGAGAGTGAAGTGTTCTCCATGCAAAGCAGGCCTGGCAGAAAATATCGAATCACAATGTGCGCTCTTGGGGACCGTTTTCTCACCAACCCGGAAAGAAAATTGCGCCAAAAGCTGCTGATGTCTACTGTTATGTGCTGTGCGACTTTATTTAATCTCATTTTGTCCTTCTTTGAAGGCGGAGAACATCAAGAAGCTTCTCCAGGGATTGGACTCAACAAATTGGACCGCGGGGGCACAACACGCCCTGGAACGGTTCATGTTGTCGGTGATTTCACTTGGGACACCCGTGATCAGCGCTTCCGGTTTCTGTTCTCTCAGAAGACCGCTTTGCACTTCCGTAAGACCTCGTGTGCTTGCTTCCTATATACATAACTGGAAATCGCATTATTCATCACGCTCTAAGTCATGAATTTTCCATTCCAGGTGTTTGCCCAGGTGTTGACATGCGTTGTGATCCTGATTCAATTTCGTACCGTCTAGCTACTGATTATATCTCGATCAAAGCCTTTTCTGGCTTCCAAAAAAAAAATGTTTTTGAATGTATTACAGTACTTATGCTGTAATAAGAACTGCGTGGATGATGTGGGAAGGATCACCCCCGAAACTGGATTCGGTCGGCTTTTGATAACCGCTTTAATTTCATATCGTGTTTGATGTGGCTGAAATTTTTCACTTGTTTATACAACAGTGTTCCTTGACCCGTGGTCCGCGGACCGCTGCTGGTCCGCAGGCGTTTTTGGCTGGTCCGCGGAAAATTTCCTCAAGCATAAGAAATTTGTCAGAACAATCAATGAAGGATGTTTCAGTATGTTTTTCTGAAAATTTTCAAAGACAATTGCAGTTACAATTTTTCATGAAAAATAAAAGTTGTCATTTCTATACAGTACTAATAGCACTTCAGAAAATTTTCCCCTATAATGAAATAAATTAATTCAATTTTTCAGTTCCAAGAAAATTTTCTCCAAGCCCACATTTCCAAGTTTTTGAAGACATTTCCACTATAGCTGCTTCATATTGGTTCTCAACTTGCTTTTGTGCAAAGAAGCAGGCACTTCTTCATTAATAATAACTGCCATAAAGTATTCCAGGCAAAACTTTTTTGAGCGTGCAAACATTTTACAAAACTTTACTGGTCCGCAGAACATGTTTTTTTTTTAATTTGCCAGTCCACAAAGAATTTTATGGAAATTTGCTAGTCTGCAGGTCCAAAAAGGTTGGGGAACACTGAATTACAATGTCCACCTGTGCTCCAATTTTTTTTTTAGTTTTGAGCGTGTATTATAAACAAGTTTTGGAAAATTTGTGATTGTGTTTATCCGAAAAAAAGCGACAAAAATTGTTTTTAATTCAAATGTGGTATCGGTGTTTTTTCCCTGCGAAAATTTCGAATTTCGGACTTGTACAGTGTTTTCTACTTACATTATTTTGAGTGAACATGCAAAAATATTCCGGGGCTTTTTATTTTCTCTTACTGCTGCCTCTTTTTTTTTGCGATTAAATTTATCTAAACTCATGGTTTCACCACTTCATGCTGTCAAACAACTTTAATCCCACGCCTAAGCCCAGCCTAAATTAAATATGAACGTGTCAAGTTGATCATAACGAAAGTCATTCAAAGCTAACCTCAACAGCACCAACCTCTCTCAATCCAGCATAATTTGCGTTAAAAATTTGTTATAGGCAAATTAATATTGAATTGCATAAGGTCGTCGAGGATTTTTGGAAAGTTAATTATTACGAAGTTACTGTATCTCATTTGACACAACCAGCGCTTAATTTACTTGAATCATACAGGAATTGAATTACGCATGATTCATCACAAATCGTCTCTATGATCACTCGAATGGCGTTCGTATCAAGTCAATGAAATAATCAACTGTTGATAATCCGGAGGCCAAAGTAACACGCATGTATAACATGAATAAAGCATTTCCGATGAGTTCGTTGGAAAATAAATCAAAATTATATTGTATTGAGAATATCTCCATTATTGGCATTTGCAAAAAAAAATTATAATAAGCAGAAATGCGTCCTCGACAGAAAAGGATAAGGCGCGTTCGTATGTATAAGCGCAAAAGAAAACAAAGCCGAAACGCATCAATTTCCAGGCTGCTCCTGCTGCTGGGGTTTTCGCATTCGACGTCTCGGAGTCATAAATCTCGTCGCCTCAGCGAGACTCCGGAGAGTCCGGACACTGAACAGCCATCTCTTCATCATTTCCTCGCAACACCAGACCATGACATTCTGCTTCTGCTGCTCCAGTATGTTTATTCACTGCTCCTGTTTCCTTTTTGCCTTGAGATCTTCAATGAGAAGTGAAAAAAATCAAATCCGAGCTTATGTTGGAAATTTTTCGGCATGAGTAAAACACGTACCACTTAATTCGAGAGAGAAAAAAACACGAAATTATGCATTAATCGCACCTCTTTAAGGGAACAGAAAAAAAAATCGAGTTCGGGAAGCAAGCAATTTTGTTGGGGGGAAAAAGAAGAAGAAGTCCACAAATTTCCAATTGGTGACATTTCTAGGCAAGGGTTTCAATATAAGTGTTTCATTTCCTTTCAAAGCGCACCAAGTTACTTCTGTATTTGCTTTTCTCATTCCTGATTGAATAAAATAATAGCCAAAAGTCCTCCAGAAACTTTGAGTTATGAATGTTTGAGGAGAAAAACCTTTGAGTTAGTGAGGTTTTCAATGCATTATTTCCACAATAAGGGAATTCAGACAAGGACTTGCAAAAAATTTGACATTCAGAGGTATGCTGCATTCAACTTCGGGAGGTTCAAGTTATCAAGGTTCAACTGTACTGTAGTTTTATTGCGTTATACTTGCGTATATATACGAGGACAATTATTTTCCAATTCATCGTCTTCATCTCAGTTCGAAAGAAAAATTACAAATTTAATATCTTCCTTAGAAAAACAGAAAATGAACGAAACAAAAAATGTACTGTTCATCACCATCACACTCCTCTTCGCTCTGTTTATATGCAACGACTGCTGCTGCAGGAACATTATTTGAAAACTTCACGAAAATCGCTTGAACATAGTATTTTGTTGAATGATCATGATCATTCCACGTGATGTGACTAAATAAATCCCCCGCCCGACGGATGGTTTGGAAAAATTCATGAAAAATAAAATGTGGGTCAAATGAATGAAACGGTAAATGATTTTTCTTCCGCGGGTTCCTTTAGGAGTTCAAACGGATACGAGCCGTAACAAGCATGCAAATCAGACCAGAATTTCCGCCAATTTATTTCCGAAAGGCTCACCTATACTTCGTACTGTACAGCAAACCGGAAGAATATACAGTATGCATATACTGTATGTTCAGTAAATGAATTGAAAATACAACTAGGCATATTTTATCGTCGGAAAATTAAGCTGAAATATGCACAGTAGTTATATACTCACGGTTTATCCGGGCAACACTTGAGGAGATCACGCATGGAAAAGTCTGCACCAAAGGCTTCGCCTTCTTCGAGTGTTTGAGGCAGATGCTGGTGCAATGTTTCCGGCAATGCAAGGCCACCGAAGCCTCCCAACACGAGCAAAACACCCATGATCATCAAAGGAAGCACTAAAAACTCGGATCCCTAAACACGAAACAAAACAAAAACCAGGATTTCATTCACAAAACAATTTATCTCACGCAACGCAATTATTCCAATACACACTCGCTAAGATTTTATTCACGAGGTTCCGCGCGCCACCTTCTGGAGAAAAATGAAAAATACAGTGAAAACCCTTTTTCATGAAATAAAGTTGGACTAGCTCTTAACATTTCTCAAGAACATTATCATTATTCCAAATATTCCTAATCGGTTTAATTGCACTTCGCGTTCCTCGTCAGAAGTCGTCGTCATAACAGCAGAATAATCATAGAATCCTGAACAATTAGCGGAACCTTTTCATATATATGGTATCATCGAAGGACTCAGGCCTACAAAATTGGATACTAATATAAATAAATAAAAATTTAATTCACAAAACAACTCATCTCACACAACGCAATTATTTCTACACACTCGTCACGATTTTATTTATAAGGTTCTGCGCGCCCTTATTTTCGAGTAACCAAAAAAATAAAATCCTTTTTGATCAAATTAAGTAAGGCCTTGTACATACACAGCGTATTTAACATCATCATTCAAAATCCTCTCAATGGGTTTAATAGCTCTTCTGGGCCCTCGTCACAGAAAAAGAAAATCATAAATGCTGATCTGTAATACTGGAACCTTTTCATATGGTTCCAGAGGTTATTTTATTTTCTAAAATTCAGCAACGAAAACGATGGACTGAGACAGAAAAGAAGTGTCACGGTATCCTGTGCTCTTCGTTCAAATTCCGTTTTATCTGCACTTAATTGCATCTTCATCTCTTATCCCATCACCAACAAAAATGCGACAGCCAGAATGATGAAACATATTTTCAGAATTACGAGTATGATCATAATTAACGTCTCCAAAGATTCTTATCTACTGTATATACGGCAAATAGTTGCTGAGGTGATCCGGAAATTTTGCTGAAAGAAGCTTTGAGAAAATTTTCGACGACGGCGACTTAATTCTTTTTTTTTAACATGTTTCCAGATTTAACTCCTTAAAATGTCACGCACTTCCGTTCTGCTGCATAAACCAACCATTGAAGGGCAAAATATAAAAAAATGAACTTTACCAGATAGTTGATCAATGGTATGATGATCGGTCCGATCATTCCCGCGACTCCGGAAAATGATAAGCCCAGGCCTCGGACAACAGTCGGGTATAATTCAGAAGCCATCAGTGGCAGGACCACAAACGAAGCTGATATTCCGAATTTCCCCATGCAGTAAAGCACCAGCGTGGTTACATAGTCTGGAAAACATAATTTTGAGGCGCAATTTTGTTCCATTATGCAAATTTGAATTCACTACAATTTCGCGGAATAGCAGAAGGAAGGATGCAGGAAGACTTTTTACTCAGCCATCGCCAGAGCATCGAAAAAAAAGATAAGAATTTTCAGAGATGCATAGATCATCATTACCGACGGAGTTCGGATTTTATTTATTGAAGCTGTACGGTTCAAACGGGTTCCTCGTAAGTATTATAAAAAATAATTTCTTTATTGAATAGCGATCAATGGAAGCAGATAAAATCAGACAAAAAAACTGTATGCATCCATTCAATAATTTGAATGTATCGGGCCTCAGCAGCAGTAAAATTTTCCATCTTTGTTTATTAGATAAAATTTCCATTTCAGTAACTTCTCCCAGCATTAGAAAAATCACTGACTTCATAAAAACAAAATTTCATCTCACAAATTTATTTCTCTGAAACGAAAAGTTTTATACAGCATTTTAAAAAGGCGCATTTATTTAGCGTAACCTTCAGGTTTTTTCTACATAATTAGGATTGCTAAAACTCACCTCCTTGAAAGAGAAAAGTCGTCAAACAAGCGATTCCGCCGACTATCATGGAAAATGCCAGGGTCCATCTTCGGCCCCAACAGTCCATGGTGGGCCAGAGGAAGAAGTAAGTAGGGATTTCTGCAGCTCCAGCGAGAAAGAAATTGAGATACTCATCTCCTCCAAGCACTGGAGCATAGTATGACAAACCGACATACACACTCGTGTTTGTGAACCTGCGTAAGGATAGGAATCTGATGTTGAATATATATATATACAAAATAAAACATACCGTATGCATTAACTTCATAATTCTGACGACTAATTGGATTCATTTTACCGCTACTGCGAACATAGATGCGCATTTCAGAGAGGAAAAATATGAATGCTGTCTTTTCTCATGCTTATTACATATATATATATTCACCAAATGAATGTGATGATCAGTGTCTTCCTCATCATATTCGGAGTGCGAAATAAGTCGGAAATGCCGTAATGCCGACTGCCTTTCTTCTCTTTAGTCACAGTTTTCTCCATTGCATCTGGACATGTTGTATTCTGCACATCATCGGTTTTCGAAGGCAGTTCAGTTTTGTGGTTCAGCTTAGCTTGTTTTTCCTGAAATTCAATTTAGATACACAATGGACCATGAAAGAACGTAATAATAAAAATGAGCAGCAGCATATTGATTTTTATAATGTTGAAGGAAACGTGCTCCTTTTTTACGTTTTTTTTCTGTATCACGCGCAGACGTTAAACCATTAGAAATCAAATTCAAAGGGACTCAAAGACTAAACTTAGAAATTTTCCAGAGTAGAGGAATATAGGGCTTAATTTGAAAATTTTAATTAATGCACTTTTTGGGACAAATAATTGTGAATTTCCATCATCCATATATGTCCTACCCACAAGAAAAACATGTAAAATTTCTTGAGTGTAGAACATAAAGAAAATCATTTTTCCTGCTTTCCAAACAGATGTTCTAAAATTTAGCTGCAGCTTACTATTGAAAATTAGGCTGAAACATTTTGGCTGAGGGAGGTTTGACTCAAAAAAGTTTCAAGTCAGTGAGGTTTACTTATTTGCATTGGAATTGAGGGAATCTGCCAGGAAATTGGCTGAGCATTCAAATTGAGAGGATTTCGACTGGAAGATTACAATTGGAAAGCTTCAACCGTAAACAATATACTTTCTGTATTTTCAGGATAAGAAAAATTCAATGCGTGCAGCGTTTTCTTCATTAAATACGCATAATGCGCAATCAGCATGAACAATTAAAAAAATCTATGTGCATTAGTTAAGTTTTATAATAGGTTTTCCCATAGTATCCTTAAATTATCAGATGATATATTACTGGTAAAACGTCTGAATAAGTTGAAAAAAGCTGAAGGAAAAAATGCCTCGCAACCTATTTTATCAAGGTATAGGGAAAAGCAAATGTTAATTCTTCAGCTACGTCGAATATTATTAATATTGAGCTCATGTTATCCTCTTATTTTCGTACGAAAGTTAAAATCGGAAATGGAGTTGAATTTTCTTTTGGAAACACACCTCAAAACCACCAGAAAGCATCTCTTGGCCTAGGTATATATATAAGGAGATCATTAAAATAAAAAATATCGTCAGAAAAGTGTTTCACCTCAAGGAAATCCTCATAATCATCCGGCAAAGTCTTGCCATTCATTTTCCCCATGAGACGCATTATTTTGGCTGCCTCGCGAGTTCTTCCGTGTGCCAACAACCATCTCGGCGACTCCGGTAATACCCTGAGGAAATTCGCAAAAAGAAAAAAAAAAGTGCATGTATACATATACGGGGAATCATACCAATAATATATACCGGCGGGGTTCCCCGAAATATGGACACCACGACGGCATGTTGACGATTTTACTTTTACATAATTAAGCACAAAAAATCTACCCCGACATTAATTCGGACTCGTCTATACACTGTATATAGGCACTCGGGCACACAGCCAAAATTTCCAGAACAATTGAAAAATGTTTTTGAAATTTAGATATCTTTATTTTAAAAAAATGAGCTAATGCCATCATGGACATGAAGCTAAAATAAATCCCATTATATAAATGTACTCTCGTTATTTCTCCAAAAGAGGCTAATTTTTTTCATTTTCAGGGGGTTTTCAATCAACTGATGTTAACATAACAGAAATATAGGGGTGATGGTTTTTGTTGTTGCTTTTTTAACTCACTTTCAGGCCAAAAGTGCTGATTCCGTGTTTTTTTGTATTGTACACAATTTTTTCCCCGCATCATCGAAGTCAAGAAAAACACTTCCATGGAATCTTTTGGAGAACTTTTTCAATTCATTTTCCAAATACTGAGCAAGATTTTTTCCATTGAAAGTCCATATCAACTTTATTGATGAAGTATAGTGAAACCTCTTGAATACCAAACCTATAGAACAGTTTATCTTCCATCGTGAATGATCAATCATGCGCATTTTCGCATAAAATTGAAATATTTCGCTGCACAGTCATAATTCAACGAATACTGTACTCTACAAAACAAGTAACTCGTATAATCTGATGCAGAAACTAACTGAAGTATGATAAATTGATTTTTGACATATGGCGGAAAAAGCACGAAAAAAAAAAAACAGCCAGGAAACTCTCCAGAGTTCAGAAAAACTTCTCATTGTCACGTATAGTAACATTTTTAAACTCCCCGAATAACCAAGGACAGAAATTGATAAAGAGTGGCATCTATTTTTCAACTCACCACCAGTAGAGGAAAAACGACAAGAACGGGATGGTTGTTGCCAGCGCCATCTGTCTCCAGGGACGAACGAGCCAAACAACGCCAGCAAGCAACACGAGGCAGGCTGAGTAAGCCACATTCGCCACAAGCATAGTGAAAGTTCTCTTGCTCGGTCCCACCATCTCAATACCTAAATTTGAGCAAATTTAAAAGTTTTCAAATTTTAAAGATGCATACACAAATCAGCTATAGCGAGATAGAGACGATATATTGGTATACACTGACACATCACCAAAGGAGTGCCCATGATGGCAGGAACAGTGAATCCCACTCCAATGCGGAACACCAGCCATGAGATAAAGTCAAAGGCCATCGCAGTTGCCAATCCAAACAAGCACTGAATTGATAGGAATATGAAGAAAGCTGGCCTTCTCCCAATTCTACAGGAGAAATGTATGCGTAAAAATGTAGTAGGTTTGTGTTATACAATTCAGGAAAATAAAAGAAGAATCTCACCTGTCTTGTAAATAGCCCAATAAATAGTTTCCAATCAAGCCTGCGACATTGAAAAGCACCAAAGCCAACGTTGGATATACATCTTTGTCGCAAACGATGTCCCACTGAACAGAGGTGTATATGTAACAAATGCTTTTGACGTACATATACTGTACATACATATAGTCAAGCATGGAATACAGGGGAACCGAAAATATTTCTGCACTGTTCACTGTTAATTGCAGAATTCATCTGTCAGCCTTCTGAGTTATAAAATGCAACATTTTTCCCAAAAATGAAGGAAAACAAAATTCCTAATTCCTCCATCACTGCCTTTTTATTAGTTTTTTTTTACAAATGCATCAACTTTTTAAAGTTTAGCTAAGTTAGGACTCACATAGTCAAACCTCTCATTTGAACATTGAGAGAAGGCATTGCCTTTCCATTTAAGTTTAATGCATCTTTCCAAATTGAAATGTTTTGTCTTCACATATTATAAACCTCCCTTTGCCAAATTATCCTAGGCTTTAGTGTTATCAAGTTGCTGCTAAATTTTAAAACAGAAAATCAAGAAAACAGATGCCTGTTGGAGAAAATCAAAAGAACAGACACACATTTCTAATACGTAATATATACCTGCCGCAATGGATTAAATTACAGGCAACTTTCGGCGCAAATGGCAGATCTATAAAAATAATACGAATTTTCAACATTTAGGCCAGAGGATAACTTTTCATATCAACCAACAAATATCAGGCCATGTTTTCCCCAACTCAAAATATCCAATTTTTCAAGTTGTCTAAAATTTTATTCAGAGATCTCTTTTTTTATGTAATGGGTTGTAAAAGATGTACTGTACTGTACTGTACTCGAATTTTTGCGAGACGGAACTTCATTCATCACGGGAGGGATCAATATATACGAATGATTGATTTTCCCCCTGCGCCTTATATACTTGCCTGTTTCACGAATCAATTTTTGACTAATTTAGAAAATCTGGTCAAACTCACGTCAGATACAATACTGAGGCCATTTTCCACAGCGTCCCCATCGAAATGCCAGCCACTGTTACAGGATGTCGTGAGCCATGATGAATTCGGTTGAAAGGAATCAAATTTTCCAGATTTTTCGAGTTCGAGCACGATTTCGGTGAAATTTACGTCATAACGTCTGCATTTACTGTGAATTTCGGAGCCATCCACCAATTTCTCTTTCGGAATGCTTGAAAAAATATGAAAAAGACGAGGTATTAATTTCATTACAAAATTTCAAAGTAAGAAAAACGATTTAAAAAACAGCTCCTGTGGGAATAACGTTCTAGGCAATATCATCTTTTTTATTCGCGCTTTCATGCAGACAATCCTTAACAAATGCGATTTCAAGCAGAAAAAGTTTTACCATGGGGGAGTACAGGGTGGGCCAAAAAAAGTGAACCGATTTTTGACTTGAAAAAGTTTGATAGAAAATTAAGCTGTGACAATGAAAAAAGAACCAAAGGAAAGCTTGTTTAATTCTCTTTCAAATGGTATGTAGTTGTATGGTCCCAAGTGCCACAGAATGACAAGAACCATTTGAATGAAAGCTTTCTACAAAACTTGTCAGGTGAACTTTTCCAATAAGCTGATACAGTATTCTGAAGAGCTATTTCCAGGAATGAAGGAAATTCAAGATGCAATAATTTGTGCAGGCTCTTCAAGACAGCACAAAGCTTTTTGATTAGATTATTGCATCCTTCATTTCCATTATTTGTGCCAACAGCTCTCCAGAACAGCAGCTTAGTGGAAAAAGTCATCTGACAATTTTTGTGTGTGTGAAAGTTTTCATTCAAATGGTTCTTGTGACAATTTGGTGGCACTTGAAACCATAAAAATACATGCCATTTGAAACAGAATTGAACAAGCTTTCCTTTGGTGCGTTTTTCAGTCACAGCTAAATTTGCTACTGAGTTATTTCAAGTCAAGAATCGGTTTATTTTTTGGCCCACCCTGTATATAAGCTATAGGGGAAAGAGCATGGTTCAAAGGTTTGACAGCACAAGTGTGCAGGTACCGTAATTTAAAATAATTCTGTGAAGCGATGTGTTTCGAGCATATTTAGAAAACGAGTTTTTCTCTCCTGTCCTTTTTAGAAAGGGTTGACCTAGAAAAAAAATTCGAAAGTAATTCAAGCCAATGAATGATCGAGAAAAAACTTCAAAAATGTAATTCAGTCGGAGACCTTTATGGTTTTCCCGCACGTTGGCAACAAATGAAAAGAAAAATTACATCGTCGCAGGTAAACTCTAGCATACTGCATAACTGCAGGAGAGACAGACAAACTTTTTCTAAACCCCGTGCATAAGGGGCTCCTCAAAAGTCATGTGAGTCAGCAGGATATATTTCCATTGTACGGCGATGCAAACTATATATGAAAATTCTTAACAAATTTCCATTGACACAAAAATACATCCATATGAAAATGAAAAATATGACTTGACTCAGAAATTATCTTATGTACAGTACCCCAAAATCTCGAGCATTGACTTTGGATCGAAAAGCCACCAGAGAAGAAAAACGCTGGTTTCTTCCATTCCTGGAAGAGGATGTGCCATAACTCAAAGACGTAATTCACAGGGTACCATACTTTCATTGGTAGTTCACACTTCGGAATCACTGATTTGTTTTAGAAAAAATACAGTTGAGAAAGTTAAAGCAACGATTGAAAGGTGCGGTCTGTAGTTTCATCCCTGCGTGGATAAATTTTTTTCAATACACGCTGCATTATCTCATTAATACAACATACTTTTATGGGGATCAAGAACAAATTAATAAAAAAACATTCATAGTTAATGTTCCCTGAAGAACGCATTTTTCAAAAATTGTATTATGCTCTTTCCTTCTACGTTTTTGTAATGCTTCAGTGGGGTAAAGCTCAGACAATCAATTACTGTATAATGAAATGCAGCTGAAGAAACTGCAAAAGTCCTCGAAGATTAATTTCTTGAACTAAATCTGGAAAATTTTTATATTGAGAGTTTTAGCACTTCTGTATTTCCATGACGTTTTTCAGGAACTTGAAAAAAAAATTGGTCATGCTGGAATTTTTTATGTTACAGTATTTCCTTGCTTTTGTCACCGAAAAAATACAGAGGTACATACTAGAGTATCTTGTAAAAATAATGCACTTCTATTGAAATTAATTCACGCATATAAAAACGCCTCCGTACAGATACTGTATTCACTTCGTTCAGCTTTTTTGACAAGGTAGTATGGAAGGACATTTTTATTTTGAATTAACAATTAATAAATTGAATATATACAGTGGAACGATATTTTGTAAGAAAATCGGAGGACTTTTCACGGCAGAAAACACAAATTTCCTTTTATATTAAATCTTCGCAAAATTCTTACCTTAGCTTCCTCTGCACCTCAGGAGTGTAACCAGCAGCGTCGAGTTCCGGAATCTTGCACCAGTGATCAGGCACGAATGCCATGAAAAGTTGATTGTAAGCGTGAAACCCACACGGAACGAAACATGGCAAAAGGACTACCCAAAGCAGTAGTTTTTGGTACTTTCCGAATTCTCCAATGTCCGGCAGAAATTCGTCAAAATCCATCCCGCCTCTTCCGCGGGTAATCTTAGCCCGCCGTTTCCATCGTTTCTTGAAATTAAACGATGATTTTAAGAAGCTACTTATGCGTAATACACATGAGAAACACAGTTAATCCATCTGAAAAAACGCAAATGTGTAAGCCACAAAAATTATACAGTACAACTAAATATCATACTAAGTAATCAGGAGACATCCTCGAAGGAACTTGTGAACGGTAATCGTGTGCATGTTTATGTGAGTTGTTAATAATCTTGAACAGGGATTTTACCAGAATAATATACATCAGTTCGTGGTCTACCTTAAAAAACTATATATGTACAGTATTCATACTGAAATAACCGCGTTTTATGCATTATATTGTTTAAATCAAACAAGAATAAATTATTCCTCATGTATGCCTCAAATATATTTCTGAAGTGAGGTGAATGATGAAGCAGACCAAAAATTTCGAACGGAGGTGTTAGTTTCTGATAATCGTCGATTTATATTCTTCCTATTTAGATTTTAAAAACAATTTAGCTCCGTTTTGCAGACGAAATTGAACTCATAGAAGAAAAATTGCCCTTATGATATATTGAAAACTGCTTCGAATTTTCAGAAATTTTAAATATACGGGTACACAATCGAAAAGAACTTTCTATGAAGGGTTCAAATAACGTCCAATATAATACGATGTCCAATTGAATTAGGAAATGGGACAAGATAAAGGTCAAGCCACAAAACGCCTTTCAAGTCATGGTAGAAGAGAGTACAGTATCCTCGGTTTTGAGAAAGAACGACGTTCTGATATTTTCACAAAGACAGCAACATACAGTATTTTTGATGCATCAGCATCATTTTTGGTACACCAATAACAGTCCGACATAACACAGCTCATTAAAATCGACAACACTGCACATACAAAATATTAACACCGAACTGCTTTTGTCAGTCTTATATACACGCATGTATCAATTCCAAATTTCTCTTGAAATCTCAAAATTCGAAGCGAAGCTCGAATTCCGGAGAACATATCTCATGCGGCTACGAGCGAGTTTCAAACGAAATATTCCAAAAAGCTCACATAAACAACGAGGGGAAAAAAAGTTCGTGAGCCCTTTCATGCATGCAGCCACTTGTTCTGAAGTTATTCTGAGACTGAACACGCAACTGAAGAGTCAAATACTTCCAGCAAGCGGATCAACCGCACCACCGAAACATAAATACTCGCTAACACGGGTGCAATCCAAAAACCCGCAGCGTGACTATTCAGCAGCTCCTTATAATAATCGGCTCACAGTGAAGCTTTCACGACACGCTGAACGTCAGCCATCACAGCACGCAAGCACTGTGTGCAGTTTCATCACTTAAAATATTTTTCAACTATTACAAAGAAATCCCGAACACAAAGCAATTGCCTCCTCGTTTAACCGGCCACTATGATGACAGCTATAGTACACGTGTGGCGTTGTTCATCGCGGGGTAATCAATGGCGGGAAGCGGGTATAAAAAATGCCGGAAGCATTCAGCCCACATGTCACAGCTTGATGTTGAACAGATGACGTGCATCGGCTGAATAACTGACAAGGCACAAAAGAAGGAAGGCGGGATTAAACCGAACACCACGAATTCACGATGGATTGAAATACCAGCATCATCAGCGCACCTGCAAAACAGGAATATACTCAACGGTGTAATCGATTTCGAAAACGATTTTGTTTTCACCTCGTCAATTTTTCCAACTGCTACAAATTTCAGACTATAGTCAATAAAAAAAGAGATTTTGGAATGAAATAATCTCCTCAAATGACCCTTATACAGAACTTGTCATCATACACAGTATAATTAGTACGATGAGTGTCAAACTTGATTCTTTAGTTTGATCAGCGTTCACTTATTGAAATCTCAGATGGATCAAGATAATTTTGCTTCAGAGATGCTTATACGCTAGCTTTTTTCTTGAACGATATTCCGAAATGCGGAATAGAAAACGGATCAAGCGTTAAAAATTATGTGCGCTAAATTTCAAGGTGAAGACTACATCACTACCAAGTTCTGCGAATTTGCATGCAATCTAATTATTGCAAAACTCGATACCTTATGCGAATAAAAATCCTCTGTGAAATAAAAATCCTCTCAAGCTTGAGAACCATTTTTTTATGAAAACTTTTCTCAACCACGTATACCGACTGATTCCCACCATGCGTCGCTAATTTTCATAAATCCAATTTCAGTTTAGAATACGACGAGGAAAATGACTTCATTCGCTTTGCTGCTTCGTGTGCTGGCATGATGCAAAATCATGGCATTTCTTATAATTATTGCGCAAATACGGTATTTAGCTAACCGGAGCTCATGTATCCTGTACCTGAATTTTCTGGAAGGTTCGACAGCTCCCGAAAGTGCATGTGAAAAATTACATGAATTAGATGCAACAGATTAAATTAAAATGCAAATTTGTGCAAAAAATAAAATTACATGAAAAGGAAGATAATGCGCTGAAGTGACTTGTCGAAAAGTTTATTGACAGTTCCGATTGCATGGAAGTGATGCATCTATCGAAACTATTATACGAGTGTCACGCAAGACGCGGAGCTGCTGAAAACACATTGAAAACTTTTGATTACAGTAGTGTACCCCATACACAAGCAATCAAACTTGAAAACAAACACTATACACAACGACGGAACATTGAAAAAAATAATTCACGAGGGATGCGGAGGTCTATCCGCATTTACGAAGTAATGACAGGATAGTCAGGACACGCAAAAAACTGAACATTGTGAGATCAAGGACAGAATAATCCAAAAAATAATCATCATCATCAGCATCATCCTTTGATACCAGCCATGTTCCCCGCAATCGGTCGACTTCCGCTCATTCCCGACTGAACACCACCAGCACCCATGCCAATTTGATTCGATGCACTTCCGCCTTTGCTCCGGAAAAGCACGTCGTCACCATAGCCGATCCCACCAAAAGGACCCCCAATGCCGCCACCAAAGGGCTGTCCCACATTACTTTGACTCGTTGAGAGTCCAGCAAAACCCACGATCAAAGGCGGACGTCCGGGAATGACGACAGAGCAAATGTAGGTCTTGGCGGGATCGTACGGGTTGTCGTAAACAGTTGGCTTCGACAAAGTCAGTCGCGAAACCCAAATTCCGGGAACTTCTGGACGGAAATCCACGTGAGCTCCGCGTTGATTCCCGTAGATTTCTGGACCAACTGCAATCAAGTACGGCTGACTTCGAGGAGAATCCACTGACCATTGAATGACCTTCGCAATAATGAATTCAGAAAAAGTGACACTGTACTCGTCACAAAATAATTTAACCGCTCCTATAGAGGCTTCAATTATTCTCTTTTACCTTTGAGACCAAAGACATACTACTTTCATGAGTTCTGGGCCTATTTGCAGACACAGTTCTGAATGAGAGCATTAATTGGACAAAAATAAGCTCTGACGAATTCCCTTTGACGTTATTTGGAGGGAAGTTTACGTTCCTCCTGCTGAAACAAGAATAGCCGTCAGATAAAATTATTTTGTTCTTTTCATCTTCTTACAGTACATAGTACAGTAGTTTGAATTATTTCGCTATCTATTACACCTGCAACGAACTAAACATTTCTGCCTTCAAACCAAAGACATTCCGATTCTAGATCAAAGATATTTTTGTTCCTTTTTATTTCAATGAAGAATAAGAACAATCCCAATAATAAGCCATTGAAAAAAGCATATTAATGACCCTTCCGCCGGAGAACACATTGAATTCCAAGAGGAAACAAAACATATATCGATCTGTCAGTTCGATAAAAAAAATCCTTAAAAAAGTATATGTCATGTTTGTACAGTGAAACTCTCGGTTCGATGCCAGCATTTCTGTCCGGACCGTCAGGTAAATAATTTGCCTAAATAATTATATATTTTTTAAATAATCGGATCTATTACAACCCAACGCCGGCTTGATAAATTACGCCTTGACGTCACGGATGAAACAGCACATTTTAACCATGGAACAAGATCACGGCACAGAGGAATGCTAGACAATCAAGTGAGAATAAAGCATACTACACCAAAAATACTGTCAATGCCGGGGATTTCTCAAAGGAAATCTACACACAAACCCGTGTGGTTTCATTTCTAGATAGACTTGAAGGAAACCCGACACATTTCATAAAGAATAAGGAACTCGTATACTGTATAGTGTATACATCAATAATACTCACTGGTGGGACACCTGGAGGTGCAAAAGCCCGACACAACAACTGGAATTGCTCCACAACAAAATCACTGTTGGAACCCTGACCAAACGGAGGAAGGAACTGGTTGAAACGGCCATTTGTTTCCCCAGGAAGTTGGCCGGGTCCATTCAATAAACCTCCAGCACCGTATCCGACACCGGATCCAAACGCATCCGGTCCTCCTGGACCACCAGGGATTATTCCATTGCCTCCAGGATACAAACCATTCAACTCTTGGCCACTGAAAAACAGAGGAAGATAATTTATTCGCCCAATTACGCAAGGGAATTGTCAACCCCGAGCACTCTTTCTACAGTCGAAAATCACCAAAATAAGAAATAGATTAACAGATTTCTAAGATTTTCCAGTAAAGTACAGTAGTTTCAACACAAAAATAAACAAGTTGAAAATGATACCGACTCCTACGCAAATAATGTAAACATAAATCATAATTTCCCAAAAAGTTACATACATTAACTATCAAGTGACGGAAATTTAACTCAACTTCAAAATATTTCTCTTAGGGTTGCCCAATAAAAGCGTGTGGCAAAGTTTTAGTTTATTCTTCAAGAAAAAAAAAGAAAGAACGAAAGTTGATGAAATCCAAATCTAAAAATTAAGGGTACGGCAAAACGAGTACCGTTTCCTCAATAATATCCGTTATCACTCACGATTACTGTATTACAATACTGCACAAGCAATAGTACATGACATTTCAATTGGAACAGAAAATAATACAGTACTTGCATAATGTTTGCTTAGCCACCACACTACCTTGGAGAGAAAATTAGGAGGAAAAAGAGAGATCACTAACACGCCTCCGCTTTTTTTTGAGCGAACATTTTCGTTCAGGCTTCTCATTTGTTTCCAGACTTCTCTGCATGATCAAGCGTTTGAAGATATTGTCAAAAGTCAAGAAGGTGGATTACCACATCTACTATCGTTCAGCGAAGTTAATTGTATACTATAACAGCGTCTAACAAACTTACCTTCCATATCCGCCAGCATAAATCGGATTCATGCCTCCACCCAGGAATCTCCCACGGATCTCTTCAGGTCTTCCGTCTGTGCCATTCCCAGTTGCGTTGTTATTCAAAGAATCCGTGGCGTTACTGGTTTCCAGCAATGACTCGGCATCAAAACCAACCGATTTGTCATCTTGTCCCTGAACAAGCGTAAGAGACACGAGGGAACAGAAAACGCTGCCGAAGAACACAGTGACGCTTCGCTTCCGACACATGTTGCACCGCAAAGGGAACAGAAGAGCTTTTACAAAATATCTGGAAGATAGTCACATTTTAAATTTATGCCGCCAAATAACTAATAACACGATTATCCAAATGTGACAAAATTGTCAACTCGGATGAACTGAAACCACCATACCTTGCGATTGAGCTGAGTAGTGTGAACGAGAAACACAAGAAACGTCGGGGTCATCTTCGGGTGGCAGATGGCCGAAGATCAATCGATACCTTCGATCGTCGGCAAAAAACTGGAAAACCCACCTGCATAATAACGGTGACCCTCATGCTTTTGCTCCTTGAAACAGTAGGTACTCAGCAATATACGACCAGACATCACCTGCACCTCAATACAACATAGGGTGTCCAAAAAAAAAAAACGGACAACGCAGCCAGTGAGTTAGCATATTCTATGTGTCTCGAATCTTTGACAGAGAGCAAGTTTGCACAAGTGAATCATACTCAGATGTGCATGACTGTAATCTACGTGTAAAAGTTTAAAATTGCCTCAAAAAATAAAATTAACATCATAAGACTTCTTTTACTTAAAAACTCGCGTTTTCCTTTGGAAATACACATATACATTTTACATTATACACAGAAATTCAGCATAACTCGGAATGCTCTTCAGCATGTGAACGACATCTAGTGATATCAAAACAATTTCATGTTAAACCAGACAAGGAAGAATACTCTTCAAAGTTCAAAAGCATATAATAATGTTTTGTGGGAAATTATCTTTTTGGACACCCTATATTGAGCGAATCATTGAAAAAAACAGAAACGAAACTTTCAGGTAATAAAGAGCACTAGTGTCAGCAAGGTGCAACATGATTACTTCATTACGTGTTGTGCCAAAAATACTCCCACAATTTTCCGCAAAACAAAGAAAAAATAATAATTTCGCCGGGCAAAATATCTTTCCCAAAAACTCTCAGTCAAAATATACTGAACTTGATTTGAAAAGCGTGGAATATTCGGATCCACCGAAGATCAAAATCTGGATTTTCCGAATGCAATGTTGAACTGAACAAGATTTTTGAAATGTTCCTCGTTTCGACTATAGCCTCAAAAGACTACAGAAACCTTGAATGGAACGCGTTGAAAAAAAAAAGCATTCTGAACATCACAGGAATCCCGTTTCTAACCAATAAATTATACAGGTGTCCCAAGAAACACAAACGATTCTGAAGTTTCGAAACTCGCTCACCCGATAAAAAATTCTGCATCACACCCACTGCATCAACTTTTCGCGTCCACTTCATCGCAAATAACACCAAGATCACCTCCATCACAGTTCAATTGGTCATCAGACGCGTGGCTTCGCAAAGACATGGCCAAGTATCCAGCTTTAATGGCATGTCGTTCAATGCGAGTTCCGATCGCGCACATAAAAAAGAAATAGACACAAGCAAGGAAGCACAGCACCCAGGCGATCGGAGCGATGAAATATGAGCCTTGAATTCCGGAAAGATACCACATGACGGTGATGAGCCCGAACACGAACATCTGGTACATGCGGTCGCGGTAATCCAGGTCCTTCAACGCTTTCATACAGATTTCTCTACCTTCGGATAGCAAACGAATCCTTTCTTCTGAGGCTATATCGAATGGTTCAGCTGGAAAAATAAACCGGGTTTTCATCATCCAGCGAGACACTTGTTAACACACGCTGACGGTAGCGTCATAACCTGATCATCATCAATGAAAACATTTTGAGAGAGGGAGAGAGCGGTCAAAGGTACAAAATAGAACAGAAAATAGTTCAACAGCAATACTTCATAAAAATTCCAATCCAGAGCTTAATTTGTGCAGAAATGATATTTTGAATGGTAGACGGATTTATGGTTCAATCTTCCCTCTCGCGATTGAATTTTCATTTTGAAAAGCACTACTGAAAATTTTCCACGGACCCACACAGCAATATTAGACTCTACAGTATGAGCAAACGTTTGAAGGCTAGAAATTTAATTTTGGGTTCAGATAATGCTTAATTTGTTTACTCTGAATTACGCACTATGACAAGTACTGCACGTACGATTTTTCTTTCGTGACCTGTATTTCCTCTCTTTTCATGGTTCATACAGAAATTATAGAACCATTTAAAAAAATACTTGACAAAAATATTCTGGCCCATCGTTCAGATGTACAAGCGAACTTCACAGAAAATGATACTCACAGGCTGGATTTTTCTTCAATTTCAAAACCAACAGGACACCCTCGTGATCAGAATAGCTGAATTTTTGATCGGGAACATGAGGTGGCAACGGCAGGCAATACGACAAGGGAGTTGCCTGCAGAGAATAAAAATAACCCAGTCAAGCACCAGTAGAAAAAAGTTCCCACCAAAATCACTCAAAGATTGAACATACCTCTGCTCCTTTCCCGGTCCGATACAAAATGTAATCTAATCGGATGCCTTTCGGTTTATGTTCTTTGGCCATCACAGGCGTGTATGAATTTGACACAACGTAACAAGTGGGTTCCATCTCCTTTTCGTCCTTCTGAAATTTCCGCACACTGGGCTAATATTCGAAGATAAATTGAATCCTGTTCAGATGCTCACGTCGGGGTTTAGAACTTTGAAAGGGTCCACCAACGGCACTGCACCCTTCATCATTTTATAAACCAATTCATCCGGTTCCGTGTTGAAATCACCGCCGAAAATGACCAGATCCGCCCCCATGCTGGTCAAACGAATCATTTCAGCTGACTCAAAAGCTTGCACGACTCGATGGGCTTCGTATTCTGGGGCATGGAAACTGTATTCCGCATGTAACTGGAACGTTTGGATTTGACATTTCAAAAGACACATTCGTTGCAGACGATCGGAAATATTTTGCTCACATGCGTCCCATATACATTTATGACAAAATCATTCCACTTGAGCTGGCAGAGGCCAACACCTTTCCCGCCGAACCAGTCCCCATGCATCAATTTGTGAAAATAGCCATTGAGCGGCCATTGGTGAAACATTGAGCACTCGAAAGGTTTTCGTGATATTAGGCACATTCCTGAACCAATCACTCCACTAAAGATGAAAAAAACAACAATGAAACGCATGCAACGATCGGTCAATCAATCACAAACAGAGATTGGTTAGAGAGACAGGTTAAGTTTTTCGAACTCTAGAACGAATATGATGGAAGTTCTAGTGAAATAGATAAAACAGTATCATGACATTGATGATCTACCGTACTTGGATTCGAATCGGTTTTTCTTTTGTAAATTTAAAAGTCAAAATGCTTTACTAAATCATTTGCAGGGGTACTGTCAACCCTTTTCAACCAACTCTTTTACTTGATGGATGCCTTCGTAATGATTCCAACCTGTAGAAGTAATGAGCGTAAGGTAGTTCTTTGCGACAGCCATCTCGCAGACGGCAAAAATCTTCTTCAGCCCAAACTTCTTGAAGTATGACAATATCATAGTGACCTTGACCGAGATGTTCGGCAATTGCCTTCATGCGAGGGACTCGATCGGATGAAACTCCTTTTATACCCCTTTGACACACACAAACACACAGTATAAAATTTAATTCGAAATTTCTCGTAAATCGACATGTTCCCGATGATTCTCACCAGCAATTCAGGGTAAGTATCCGTAATGTGATCTCTGGGGCATTCTTCATGAGCTCTTCTGAAACCATTTCTTGAACCAAAATTTCAAGCTAACCACAACCTGCTCATTAAAAAAAAATTACTGAGTATACTGGTCAGTGCATTAAAATTACTGAAGAGAAACAAATAATGAAGAGAAACCAATAATAAAAAGAAGGGCTTTGTTGAAAAAAATCACTTCACATTCATTTGATGCCAACGTGAATCTCCATCCCGTTCAAAAATAAATGGAATGCAACACAACCTTCCTCTCCCTACCCTCACCAACACTGAACTGACCTATGACAAATCTTTATCCCCTGTCGGCTGCTTGTGAGCGAGATACAAAAACCCTATGCTCGACACGGCGGACACTAAAAATATCACGTCGAACCATCGGTGATAGAAATTGAACTGCAGCTCTCCCAGTACTTGTGAAATGATGGTGCGATACTGCGCGGGCATGTTCATCCTCATCAGCAATACGGAGCTCACGAAGTACATTCCCATGATTTGCGCCAAGGCCAGCACGATGAGATTTGACGACTTCGAGCTGTGCACGACATGGAGAGAGATAAGAATTGCATGGCATACAAGCAATTGACTCGCGAAGAGAGAGAAATGGATTCGAGACCTGACCCATACGAATTTTCAGAATATTGAGGATGAGGCAGCGTAGTTATTAACAGTAGAGCACCAAATTTGATCAGGTTTTGGCTGAAAAAACTCAGAAAATTATGTAATGATGACGAGTGCTCGAGGTTTCTTCTCTTTTCCTTCTGGAAATTTCAGATCTTCCTTTAAAACATGTTCCAATTTTATTCAAATCCCCTAATGTACGAGTCATCAGTCGGAGTTCGAAACAAAATTGAAATGCTACTTTTCCAACTGAACAGCAATTTTCTGGACATGAACCTGTAAATGCAAATAAATCTACAACGTGACGGCTCGGAACTATGGATCGACACAGCTTAGAAATACTGTAAACAATATAAAATGAACCAGACTTCAGCACATAATTGAAAATTACACTAAGTACCGATGCACTTTTTCCAATTTCAACAGGAGCACATAAACGAGCCCAAACGCGCTGAAGAAGAAAGCGTCCGACGTCTTAAATAATCTCACCTGGATATTGCGTAGAAGAATTTCGTCAGTGTAATGAGAAGGCCTCTGATGGACGTCACGACGATGCAGCCCACGAGAAAAAACGAGATTTGCTGTGACCAAAAAGTCACGTCAATGTCAAAGCCACAATAGATCACAGCAATACTGATCCCACGTGTGACCGGATCAACTTTCCCTACGCGGTCGAACACGATGTTCACCATACAAATAAATATTTTCCACATGCAGTAGAGCGAGAAGAAGTAACCCATCAAATTGAAATATTTCCCGCGGAAAGTCTTCGCCCATTCGATCCGTTCCCGCATTGTTTGCATGTCAACAGCTTCCAAGAACAGCCGTCTGCTGAACTCCTCCAAAGCAAGTACTTCTGATCTCAGTTTCGAAGTGTCGTCAAATTTCGTCGCAGCAACGTTCTTGATCATGCTGAAGAAAGATGAGGGACCATTCTGACGCCCGTCGTTCGCTGATGTATCATATTCAGCAATAGCCAATCGCTTTTTCTTCGTAAGGATCATGTCGTATGTGTGATGGAGCTTCTTCTCCATTGACTGAACGTCAGCAGCGGTCACCGGGCTCATGAAGTAAGCCATGGATGTGTAAGGGTAGTTCACGGCACCAAAGCCGGACAAACAGGCCATCACAGTCACGCCGATAACTCCTATTCGTGATATACCTTGTTCCACGGAAAAAACGCCGTGCTTCGGAGAAGAAATCGGGAATGGATCTCCCACCTGTGAGAAAGAACAAACGTGAAACGTTTACGACAGACTTTTCAATCGATCGTTCAAATTAAATAATTCAACTGTTTTACTAAGAATCAACACCGGGTTGACAAAACTTCAGTTCATGAGCGCTGAAATTTCTCGATGCATGAATTACAATTGCAGCCGTACTCCCCATTTTTGCTGGCTCTCAAGTTTCGCCGAAAAATTGCGTTATCGTCAGGAAAACTGTGCCTGTTCCTCTGTGTTCATTAAATGAATCGGACGGACATGAACGATCTTAAAATTTTCCCTTTTCTTTCTCACGCGTCGAGCGTTAATTTCAAAATCGTACAGACCTCCCATTTCACGTTGAATTGACACATGTTGATTAACACGGAGAATGTTGGTAACTTCCAAAAGTATTCATGTTATTGTGGAGATCGTTCCGCGAGAATAAATCAACCTACACCTGTGCTCCTCGTTTCTTGCCTTACAAAAGGAATGGGGACTCCAGAAGAAGGCAATGGGTATACGATGAGCATGTTTTGATTTTCCTTTCACTTCGTCCCACACACGTCACCTAAAATTCAGACGAGGAAGGGGATTCTAGAAAGGTTATAGAGTAACTATTGAAGCGTAGTTATATTCTCGCCAGGTTTACCGAATTTCTTGAATCTATTGAACATGAAAATCTGGTCAGTGGATCTTCGATCTTCACACCTCAAGGATCAACGTCAGTCCACTGCAACAATTTTTTATCACGGAAATGTAATACTGTTAAGGAGGAAGTGCAAGATTGACAACATTTTCCAACTGACCACCAGATTAATCTTTGGAAGAGAGGCTACGAACGCCGTGAATCTCTTCAAGTAGCAAAGTTTTGCTTGAGACATGGGTTGAAGTAATTACCTTCCAAAATAAGTAGAGGAAAGCAAGCCAGCATAAGAATGACAAGATGTGAAGTCCTCTCGCCGTTTTCACGAAACGCAGATTGCTCACTAAGCAATACGACATGTAAAATGGTATGAAGATGATGAGCACCAGAAGCATCAGCAGCAGGCCAAGTCTCCAGTAGAAAAGCCTCGAGTTTGACTCCAGAATTCCCAGAATCTCGAAGATTATCAGCTCAAACATCGTGCAAGACAGCGCGAAGGTTGTGGCGAAAACGAGTTGCACCTGGACTTGATGAATTTCGTAGTTCTTGAATAATTGCTTCACAAAAAACACCCATCCGCCGGCGAAGAATATTATCTCCGACGCAAGCATTATCACCGCGTCGGCTAGCACACTCATGTTAGACGTTATTTGGTGAACGCATCTAAAACAGATATTCATAAGCAAGAATCAACTTCAATCCATATGCAACCATGCCATGAACACCGACTACGTCACTTGATCTTGTGATATAAGAAAATGAGCACTCATAACAGTCGTTAAGCAATAAAAATTCCGACTAAGGAACTACTCATCACCATTCTAAATTCAATGGTTGTCGAATCCTCAGCATCCCACCGGAATTCAAACTTCACAAGCAACATTATAATACAGTCCACCCTTCCGCAAGACGTTCCGTTCGCGGACAATAGGGGAGCAAAATTTCAATCCTGAATGACTAATATAATACCGAAGGACATCATACTACAGTACTTTCCTTAACTTTGTCCTGTACAGTACAGTATTGTAGTTACCAAGCACATAGTGGAGATCTACGTGTCGTGGTTTCATTCCCGCCGCATAGATGACGAGAGGGTCAAAATTCATGGCGGTGCCCATGAAATCCGGGGTTGTCCTCAGTAGATCAACCAACGCCCAACCGAAAGTGCCTTGAGAATAGTTGCGTTGCATGAATGGATTTTTCGTAGCATCATACCTGGGCGTTTGTTGTGCGATATGTTCCCGTGCCCGTGTTGCCTTCGGTTGTGCTTTAGTTATTCTCCTGATGAGATTCAACGAAGAGAGGAGAGCAGGAAAATTGAAAAGCAAATCAAACAAGATGCGCCAAAATTCCGCCGAATCGTTCGACTTCTCTTGCTGGGAGCTGGGGAGAGTGGAAAGTCAACATTCTTGAAGCAAATGAAGATCATCCACGGCTTTAAATTTGACCCGGCGGCGATCAGGGAATATCATGGAATAATTTACCAGAATGTTATTCAAGGAATGAAGGTGTTGGTGGACGCAAGGAACAAACTTGGGATACCTTGGGAGTTTCCGGAAAATCAGGTTCAAGCTGATGTGTTGATGCTCTTCAAAGGCCCTGCGTCGAGTATGGATGAAGATACATTTCTGTTCTACGCAGCCTGTGTGCAAGTCTTGTGGAAAGATGGTGGGATCAAAACCGCTTTTGCTCGACGGAGAGAATTCCAACTTGTGAGTGAACTTTAATTTTCTGAAAAATTCCTTGAAGAATTTTATCTCACGCTTCCATCAATTTCTAGGTTGATTCGGTCAAATATTTTTTCGACAATCTGGATCGCATAGCTCGTCCGGTGAGTATCTTGGTACTGTGTTGATTTACATATGGAATTAGTTCTCAAGTTTCCATCATTCTGCATGAGCTGCAGTTGAAAGAAATGAAAAGTAATGTGAATCATGATCAAAACTTGAACAGTGAATTGAGTAACCTAACACACCCGGAAATGGGTTCACAGTTTTTTAGCATGCATATGCAGAGCTCTCTTGCGGGGAAATTTAGGGGTGGTGATGTAGTTATGACGTTACTTCTCACATTGCATGAAGTAGTCTTTCAAATTGTTGCCTTATTCGTGTTTTTTCATGTGTAGGGTTATACTCTGGAGAATCAGGACATCTTACATGCTCGCAAAGCAACGAAAGGCATAATCGAATTTGTGCTGCATGTTCGACAAGTTCCCTTTCATTTCATCGATGTCGGTGGACAACGTTCTCAGCGCCAAAAGTGGCTCGTTTGCTTCGAGAATGTCACTTCAATCCTCTTCATGGTGTCCTCGAGCGAGTACGACCAAACACTCGTTGAAGACAGGTAAAATTGAAAATGACGAAGAAACTGAAGCAATTCTTGTGCATATCTCCTGGAAGATTGAGATGATAATTCGATAAAGAAAAATCAAATTGGAATAATTTAGTCCAGGTTTGAATAAAATGTGATTGAGTACTGTACTGATGTTCAGAACGTCTGGTCAATTATCCAGGGCTTTCAACGACTGCTTGCAGCTTTTTTCTCCACTAATCTATGGCTTGAATGATTTATCCTTCATTTGAACGCATTGGAAAATGCAGCTGTAAGTTATTGTTGAAGAAAATCAAGAACACATTGAATTCCTCTTCCACAACTGAAGAATTTTTGGGAAAAAATTCTGAAATGTTGGTAACTGAAAGATGTGTAATGAAACATCTGGAGATTTTTTGTTCATTCGTGATCCTTGTCTTGTTAGTCGTACCCGTTGAGGTTTTCCTGTGGAATTGAGATAATTCATGAAGTTGACAATGCTTCGTGCCAAACTGCATTTTTTAGATATTTTTTTCTTGATGTCTCAACTCGGACGGTTAATGGAGAGAAAGCCAATTGAAAATATTTGCGTGTTCCCCTCTTCTTTCGCAAGTTTCAAGTGTTTCTAATTTTTGCATTGTTCTTTTCTGGCAGGACTGTGAATAGATTCCGGGAATCCTGTAGCATCTTCTCCACGATAATAAATCATGAGTTCTTCCGAACAACGTCTGTGATATTGTTTCTCAACAAAACAGATCTACTACTGGAAAAAGTGACCAAGAAACAAGCAAACATTCAAGACTATTTTCCGGAGTTCAAAGGCGACCCGTGGTCTGTTTCTGATGTTCAGAATTTCCAGTTGCGGGCACTTCTGACGAGCAGCAGGTTTCCAGAACGAAGAATTTTTTACCACTTTACCACCGCCGTCGATACCGAGAATATCAAAGTCGTTTTCACCGCAGTAAAAGATACAATTCTAGGGAAGAATCTAGAAGACCTCATGCTGCAGTGATATATATTTTTTGGCAATGAGATGAGTGATTCGTTGAGTGTGCTCCTACTCTCTCCTCCCGAATCGGCAAACCCATTGAATTCATGGTAATTTTGATCACCTTGTCGAGTTCCACATTCACACAAATATAAAGCGCACTTTTTTCAGCTATAAGCAATCCATATGGTTTTGGTCATAAGGGCGTCTTAGATCCGCACGCGAATTCACTGTTCATGTGGCAGATAAAAAAAAAACTGCACCCATGTGTCTTTCAGAGAGTTTGTCTCTTAATAAACAGAACATCCTTCCATCACTGAGTATGAGATTAAAGAATGATTTAGATTGAAGGAAGATGGTGTGACATGCAGGTTTTCCGATAATAAAATCGGTTTATTTTCTGGAAAATAAAATTACCGAATTTTGCATCTTCTTTTTAGATACGTAGACGGTATACTGTCGATTCGAATTACTCGAAAGTTGGGACTTGCGAACGAAGTAGCGTGGGAGTTACATGGCTGTTCTCATTGATTTATAAGACAATATTTTAGGTGCTGCTCATTTAGTTCCTTGTAGTTTAGCGGAATTTCAGGCAAAACGGATGAAAGTCTTTGAACTGAACAGAAAAATGTGGGAACTAGAAGGTCTGGCATTTTCTTCTTGGCTTTTTTTACGTGTGCCGAAAAGTACTTGCGCTTCTTTTTTGAAAAGTGCGTCTTATATTCGTGTGAATGTGTTTATTGTTCCCTGCATACTAAGTTTGACTGAGGACTGTATTTTTAATGCGCTATTTTTGTTTTTCGAACGAATTTTGGTCAATCGGAGAGAGCCGTTTCATGTGCCGTATCAAATTTTGAAAAAATCCCACAGATTTTTTCACCGATTTTCGTATTGTTTGAAGAATAGCTGCTTGTCTTTCGGGAAAGCGTGCTAGCACCAAAACGTATTGAGGATGCCATATTTTATTGTTCAATGCATGTTGTAGTTTGGCATTAGATGCTTTCATCAATGTTTCTCATTGCTTGAAGAATCCTATTTCGCAATATATGCTTAGATTTTTACAGAATTCTAGCTCAATCTAATTCAGTGGTTCACACAGTTCTCGCACAATGTAGCCCACGTTTTAATCGATATATATTCAGAAGATTTTTCGGCATGACCCATATGATTTACTTGCAAATTCTTTCTCATTCAGTAGAGTGGTATTTATCTGGACTTCGGCTGGTACAGGTATTATTAGTACAGTAGAATCTCATTATAATGAATCTCATAACAAATTAATGTTTGCAGCATAAATGTGGGGCTTTTTTGGTCCCTCTCGGACGTAGCCACAATTTTATGTTACCTTCATTTTAAAAACTTTTTGTTCATATAGCATAGCTTTTTAAGAAAGCTTTGTTGTAATACGATTCTACTGCATTGGTCCTTCGTTTTTTTATGCAGCTGTGCTTTTTCCCGGTCAACACCTCGCTCTTCATGAAATTTTTGAAGCAGTTTTGAACTTGTGACCTAATTTATTTATTGACGGGTGCAACGCCTCCTAAAAGAGGGCTTGGAAAAATTTTGATATGGTGTGCTGAAAGGGACTTGTTGAAGCCTTCTCCTAGCACCAGCCCTGAGAATTGAATGATGAGGGAAACAATGTTTGTCTGTGGTTTATTTTATTTTTTTTGTGAACTCGCAGAAATAATTGCGGCTCAAGGAATGGAAGGTGTATATTTTCTTACGCCATTTTTTATTGATTGGGGAAGCAGAGGTGTTCAGTTTAGTTCTGCTGTTGGAAAATTTGCTTGTTGAGCTTCCATTTTGTTTGACTTTGTTTGAAAATGCTATGTACATGCCTGGTTTCTACACCGAATCTGATCTTGCGAACAATAAAGGCAAATGCATTGATGAATCCATTGCATTGGTGTTCTTGCACTACTTTATGCCTGCCGTAAAGTCTTCTTGGAAGACTTTATGGCAGGCATTCACAATTTGTATGCGTTTTTGCAAGCAATTATGAACCAAAAAATAAAAATACTGTACTGGAATTTTTTTTAAATTATGATGGTGGGCTTTTGAGAATGAAAAAATTAAATCATTTCAGTGGGGGAAAATTTGTTTGTGTTACTATAGGAGGAGTTCCAACTTTTATTTTTTCATGAGATGATATCCATTGTCCACCCAACATTCAAGAAAAATAATAGCAGACTTAAGTGCTACTTTTGTTCATACAATAGAATCAGAAAATGTATAGCAGCAGAAAATGTCCCAGGAATGGCCCCAGTCCGTGGACCACAGGTTAAGGGGAATGCTGCTTTACAGAACGTACAGTACAGTACTGTACTTCTCATTATCATGCAATACAGTACAAACCAAACTGTTGGATTTAGCTGAAGAAAAGTTATGGAGGCTATATTTTTTCTGCAGAAATTAAAAGGCATTACTAAGAGGGCTTAATAGAATGCACATCCCTCAGACTAAAAACCTCTAGATTTACCTAGTCTTAAAGGGAGTGGTGGGTGATGAGAAGGAGAACAAGTGTGATATTTTCTGATTAGAGCGACACCTAGAAATTTAAACTTCACACTCCAACCGCATCCAAAATTGAACTCAATTAGATGCCACCAAAGAACCACACTGGTGAGTATTAGTAGTCGTCCACATCAGGGGACAGAAGCTCTGCATTAATAATCAAGGGACATTTTAAAGCAGACCATGCAATTTCCTGGTGAAAAATTTCGCAGCAAGTGAATTCCACTGCTTTAAAAAAAAAGAAACCTTATCTCCTTTGGAAAAAATTCAATTCCACCGAAACGCATTTCCGTGGAATAAAGACGGTAAGGATATTATATTCAAGACGGTAAGGATATTATATTCAAGATGTCACTTTCTCGGACATACATTTTGTCGCTATATCCTTTTTAATGAAAAAAATAATGTTGATTTGGTGGCATCAGTGAAAGGAGCTTTTCTTTTGAATATAGCTCAACCAATATAAAGAAACATTATTATATCCTTTTTAATGAAAAATAATAATGTTGATTTGGTGGCATCAGTGAAAGGAGCTTTTCTTTTGAATATAGCTCAACCAATATAAAGAAACATTATTATTATTTTTTTTATACTGAATTTACTCTATACAGGTAGTATAGAGTGTACCACATGCGCTGTCCTCAAGTAAATTAATGAAATGCACCGGAAATTTTCAGACTAAAATTTGAAAAATCATGTACAGTATCTCCACGTAACACGCGCACCGTACTTTCACGTTGACTGGATACTGAAATATAAAAAAAACATCACTGTTGAATTGTATATAGTCAAACTATATCTTATTTTTCCCTTGTTTCCATTTTTAAAATTATCCGTTGTTATCGGTTACCAATTCTCTGTCGGAATCAAATATGACACACAACATAGCTATACAGTATACATCCTTTTAAAATTTTATACTCAACTGTGATACACATGCCCTTTACGGAAGAACTCCATTAAAAAGAGGGTTTGGTAATTGAGGAAATATAAGTTTCATGTTTCCAGCATTTTTTGCTTCTACAATCCCAAGTCCCAACAAACCTTTTATGTTACTGTATGAAGTGTATACCGTATATAAGTGCAAGAGGGTGTTTATCGGGGATTGATGTATTATTCCTTTTTAATGCCCAAATTGAGTGTTATGATGCTTACATATCAAGCTCGTATAAAGCAACCTGCATGCAAGCAATGGCGATCAAAAAAGAAAGATTTAAAATTTCCTGAATAGTAAAGCATTAAATTGAAATGCTTTGAATTGGGAATTAGAGTGAATTAAAATGCATTTTTTTTAAATTCATGTGATATCAAAACTGTAGTTCAATTTGTTCGATACAAAACAAATTAAGTTTTCGAATTTTTCTGGAAAGTTTGACAGTGTCCTTATCTAAGACAATGGCCCAATGTTGGGGCAGATTTATTAAGTTTCATAGGTCAAATTGTCCGTATATGTTCAGGATGTCTTGTATGCTTGGGACCCCACTGCACATCTTGGTCCAAAAGCATACGGATCATACATGGAAATTACAATCCATCATCATAATGCGCTGATAATTCCCTTGTGGAATTATGGAAAAATCAAGCTTCTGCCACAGCAAAGCCCTTTTTGAGATTATTCCTTCAGGTTAGGAATACCTGTGCCCAACTGGTGCTGACTCAATATCGGATTTGTTTCGTTTTTAGTCACAGAAGGCCTGAGATTTCAGCGGTCAGTGCTCTCATCCCTGGAAAGGGCGAATATTTTGTAAAGGTCACCGCTCTGAAGAAATTCACAAAGGCATTACTGTATTGCCTTTAGAACGCATAATTTGTTTAAAAAACTGAAGATTTATTTTGTAAACATCTCGAACCCCGGCATCTTAAACGGTTTTATTTATTATTTTTCTTTTTCAGAAGCGTATCCCAGGCTTTTAATGATCAGATTTTTCATCAGCTCTCGTTGTGCTGAATGATGGAAAATTTGATTCTATAGAAGAGTAATGTGACGGATAAACTATCTAAAATCAATATTTACTATGATTTATTTATGTGTTAGCTGATATAGATGTAAAAAGCGTAAACTTCAAGTTTAATTGTATGGATTTTGAATAAGCCAAAAATAACTTGGCATCCCAGGCTAAATTACATTCCAATAGGAGGCCTTTAATACTGACTTTTTATTTTTGTAAGGTTTTACCAGTAAGAATTAGATTAATCAAGCCTTACACCTTGATTGCGGGTTTTAGCAGAGTTTCTGTGATTTAGATTTTTCAAGATAGAGGAAAAATAAATCAGAACGCAGCAATTGGCCGGGCGCGAACCGACCGGGATTTCTCCCTACTAGCGCAGACCTTTCTTTGATACACACACACACACACACACTTCTTGTTAAATTATGCACACGGTTTGTACAAAATACAAGATATACACACTCAGATGTACAAGATTTGCAACAAAGAACAATATTCGGCCTCGTAGGATTTCAAGTAGTCCAGAAGTGGACTTGATTTCCTTTACAATTAGAAGTTCGTAACTGAGTCAAGTCTCAATTTTGACAAAGTATTCACAAACGGCGTTAGGAATATAAATTGAGAAAACGAGTCCCGTTCTTAACAAACAAAAGGGGTTGAAGAACCGAAAGAAAAAACAAAGTACCGACGCCTTTTATGGATTCCGTGATGTTTCGAAATCGCCCTGGCAGTATAGAATTTTCCTAAGTTCCGAATTCCGAAATTTTAGAACACAACTTCAGCAGTTCGACCTTCTAAACTTGACTGACTGTGCTACCCAATTTTCTGGGGTTTATATATGATTTTTGCGTTGATTTTGGCGGGTCTTTCCTTGTTTGCGTAAATTTGAAAACACCAGGTGGTGGCATCTGCTGTTTTCGTAAAGGTTTCATAAATGTGTATTTTCCCGAAAACCGGGTGGTTGGTTTTACGATCT